ATTGCTTGTTCCTCTTTTGCTGGAAAAGTAGAAACAGGAACCTACTTCTGTTTCATAAAGGCTGTAAGTTTGTTAACTGTACCATTATTTTTGGAGAATGCCTGTTTTAATCAAATGTGTCAAGGATATATCATATCTTTATTAAAAATAGAAGCATAACAGTTTATGACCATATATAAGATATTCTTCGGGTAAGTTCTGGCAGGACACTATGGCCTGAGCACTCTTAAGGGTAACTTGTTTTTTTTGTGATTACTTCTCTAAGACATAGCAACAGTTTTAAAAATATTCATAGTCTTTATGTCATGCTGGTAAGCAAAATAAAAACTGAATTCATTTTTTTGACTTCACCTACTTTCAAACCCAAGTCTGTGGGTAAGCAACATCAGAAAGCACTGCATGTTGTAAGAATAATGTTATCCATTTCAGAGCTTGCCTTGAAATTGCTGGCTTGATATGTTCCTGCTGCTAGGCACCACACCACAAGGCCATATAAATTCTTAGACTATGTTGAAGTCAAATTACACACTGGTACTGGCACTAAGGGGTATGAAAGGAAGGATCTTCCTTCTAAAATCAGACAGCCCGTGCAGTCCAAACAAAGTGATAGGTTATGTAGTTACTTTTTCTTCTGTCATACAGCCTGTTTCACAAGTCAGAATGCGTAGGAAGGAGAGCAAGGAGGAATCCCTGAAGTATTCCACTGGAAGCACAGCTGAAGCAAATGTCAAGAAAACTGTGGAAACCCCCAGCAAATGCACTAGGCTCCTGGAAATGCAACCAAGGTCATAATTTTTCCTTTTATCTTTAGTAATGGGTTACATATAGAATGGGAAAATCCTCTTCATGCTTAAGCAGTTGGAATAGAGAATAATTGCACTTCAGTAAGAGGTCTGTTGAAGAAGAATTTACAAGCTATGCACTTGACTTTCATTCCCCTACAGACAATTTCAAAGATATACTTCTAGTACCATTAGAGCAGAATGAATGACACTAGAGTTAATATAAACAGGTATTTAACAATTTAGTTTATCAAATGATTGCATGTTTATATATGTAATGTGCTTTGCTGAACAATAAAATACATGAAATGTATTTTTGCATATCAATCTGAAATTTTTGCTCTGACTACACCTGCTTTCAAGTAATACACAGATTATATAGTATCATTTATCACTTACCAGATAAGTTGTTGATAACTAGTGATGGCAAAGCAAAATGATTACAAAAGCTGTTATGCTAACACTAGAAATTAGCTTTCTATTTGTGCTGGAATTTTTGGCGCCAAGTAGGTATTCTGCCTTTTTGTTTTTCAATTAGTACAAGTTAAAATCAAACACTCTATCAAAAAGTAGTAAAACAATGCTTGAAGTTTAAATTTATGTATATGTTAAATGGCCAGGAAACATAACGCTTACTACTGAGATGAAAAAACTATTTTAGTGTATTTGATCAGAAGGAATAATAAAAGAAATGCTAAAATTGAACATGCTAGAAATTGAAGAATTATGGAGTAACTTAAAAAAAAAAAAAAAGTCAGATGTTGCAAGTGTTTTTCTATCATAATTGGTTCCTCCCAGTTTGGTTTATTGTAGTATAAAACCAACAGCAGCACCATTCTAACCTGGAGGCCTACTGGCTTAAGGGATATGAAGTCCCTCTTTCAGTGGATGGGTTACAGCTGTGCTGCTATAAAGACATAATTAAGATAAATTAAGAAATTAAGACAGACATCTCCTTTCAAATAGAGGTAACTTTTAAAAATAATATAAACAGGAAAAAGTAGATAGTGTGAAATACAGGCAGTAGACTTCAAAACTAAATACTAGCTGAGTTTCTCAAATTTAATCGGTATCAATGAGATAATAGCTATGAGAGCAAAAATAAAGATAGATGGTAGTTTTGAGCTATGGAGGATGCACACCTTTTGAAGCTATCTTGTAGATCAGGAGTAAGAAATGAGAGGTGAGAAATAGTTTTGAGAATTTTGAGAAATCCTGTTCTTTACTGAATGTTCATGAACGTCCATTTTAGTGTGTAGTTATGTGTATTTTCAGGAGAACACTTAATAAACTGGATGAAGTTTATGTTGGAATATAGAACCAAAAGATGTCTTTGTTGTGAGAAGAGTTTTACCTGTGGTGAGAGTACTTCTGGTGGAGATGAGAAATTACAATATTCAAATCTGTTGTCAAATATTTAGCTCTCTTTGCTCCACTTTGGTTCCTGGTATCTGAATATGAGGTTCTTGAACTTCTTCCTGCACAGAATGTAATTTGTAACTTGGTTCCCTGTAAATTATATATCACAGTATATTTTTGCTGTAGAAAAGCCCGTTTTAGATTAAGGAGATAGAATGACATGCAGGTGTTTTTCCCAGAGCAAATAGGGTGGGCAGCATCTGAAGGTCAGGGAGTGTTTTTACTGCTCTTGGAGAGTGCTTCAGATGGTTAACAGTTTTATGGAAGTAGCAATGCTGTGCTGTGGATTGGTAGTCTGTAAGTTACTATTTTTGATCCTGATTGTAATGCCCAAGACAATTATGTCAGTTCAGAAGTGTTCTAGAAGCAGTCAGATACTGAGACAACGATTATTAAATTTGCTGTGAACATCAGTGAGGGAATCCAGGTTTCCAGTACAGATGATAAAGATGTCACTTAGGTCTTTTAGGCATAACAGATGCTATGTTCCTACATGTTCTGTGCTGAGATAACATATCCGCCCTTTATTCCAACACTCCCTTAGCCGATGTTCTGTGGTGAGCATTGCTTGCCACACTAGAATGACTTTTTGACAATGTTTCTCATTAACATTCATGTATTCACTTTCAATTAATATATATATTATATATACTTATACACTGACGTTTGGGCAGCAAATGAAGCATACTTGAATGTTTTTCCTTGTTTGCTTATCAGCCTGTTCTTCCTACTGATGAAGTCGCTAAGAGCAGGAGTAGTTCTTACATCTCTTATAAATTCAGTATTTGCTCATTATTCCATGATATCCTCTTCTGAGAAACTGTGTCGGTGCCATTTCATTTTTTTACAGCAGACTTCATAGAGTATCTTGATGTGGTACAGATATTACAGATATGGGATGCACAGGGAATTTGCAAGATCCCTTATGGGAAATACACAGTGAAAACATGGTAAGATATTAAAACCAGGTATACAGTTTGGAGCATACCTCTGAAAGAGGGTGAGATTTTCTCCTGTGGATAGATGTTAGAGATTTAGCTGGTTGCCACATTTTGTGGTCAGTCAGTGCCTGACCTGAAGTCACTGGGCTGAACTCCTCTCCTGGCTGAATAAACAAACACGGCATTCTAAGTGTTTCAAGTGCTGAATTACTTCTGTAGACACTCAAGGATCTTAACCTTTATTTTGGGCCCAGCAAATGTCAGCATAGAGCAATCATGAAAAAGCACCAAAACAAGCGCTGTCTTTAGGCATTGGAAGTAGAACAGGGTAAAGTGTTGCATTGGGAAAGTAGGGAAGTGGGGTAATGGGATATTTTATGTAGCAATTTCTGGATTGTACTGCATTTTGTAAGTTAATTCTATAAATAATCACACTTTTGCTATTTCTTACTGTTTTAATATTTCTTTCAGTAGCATTAAAACACTTTAAGCCAAGCAGAGTTTATGCACGTATTGTGTATTCTGTGGAGTAACACTTCTGAATTTACAGATCACTGGGCCAAGCTAAGCAGTTCTCTCCTGCAGCTGAACAGCAAATGGAAAACGCCCTTAATCTCTAATGATGAAAATATTAATGTGATGAAACAATAGCTATAGAACCAGCGGACAATGCAGAAGTGTTCTGTGAATCACAGAAGTTAAACAAAAAACTTAGAGGATATTTTATTCTCTATATATAGAAATAAGAAAGAATATAAGAAAGAAACAATATAGAGCTTAGATAAAATGAAAATCAATTCAAAATTCATCCTAACTTCCTACTCAAACTCTGTGCTGCATCTTATTGTAAATACCTCAGGCACCTGCAGTATATTAACACATTCAGGTGGGATTCAGTTTATGATAAATAACATTTAAAAATTCAGTGCTTTAAGTAAACACTGGGAACTCCTCTGTTTCTTCTTCCTTGTGGTCTCCGAAGGCTTTAGAAACATTTATAAACTGACTCCCTTCCATCCGTGTTTGTGATGTACTTATAAATATGACCCATTTGTAGCAGTGAAAAACAGCATGATAGGCTAACAGAATAAGTGAGTGGGAAAGATGCAAATTGAATATAGCTCTCAGACCTCATTGCAGATGGTCTCATCTCAGACCATCTAGCAGTGTTATATGAAAGAACTGTGGAACATTTCAGGCTTAAGACACAAGGCAAAAACCATTCCTTATGGAGGAGGGTATTCAGCTCTTAGCATCTCCAGGCCTGGAGGGGTACTGAGAATCATGCAACCCTTTTCTTACCTACATGGAGGTTTCACCCAGTGAAAAGAATGGGGCAGTGCTCAATCCACTGCTGCAAACCTACCGCTGTCTAACAGCACACAGTCACATTGGCCTGGGTAATATGGGTCCTATAACTGTCATCTCTGGCCAGGTGAGGTTATCTCAGAGTTATTACAAACAGGATGGATTTTCTCCAGAGAATGAACCTCATAAAGGCTTACCAGAAGTAATATTCCCTACCATTCAAGAAAAAATGAAAGTCTTCATCTTCTTTTCTGATCTTAGAAATACCACAAAAACCTCTGCAGTGCCAGTGTTACTTGTTGGCATGAGTCTGCTGGAGAAGGAAATCACAGCAACGATCTTTTGAGGTGACAACCTCACCACTTGTTTGTAGCTCTTGCATCATGTTTAAAGCTTTTCCCAGACTGCTACTGCTGGGGTGTGTTGCATCATGCCAGCCGAGCCCTGCGCAGTGGGGCCAGTAATCCCTGGGATACATTCAGCACCTGAGCTCCCTCCAGCACACCCTTCATCCACTCTCTGGATGACTAATACAGCAGGGGGTATTTAATAGTATGAGATTACATTTTTTGTCCTTTCACTGGTTCTAATCAGAAGTTACTGTAAATATGATTGTGTTTATATCAACAGAACAAAACCTTCTACTCCTCAGGCTAGAGAACAGGAAGATACCTGAAAAATTAGTCTGATTCTGCATTTATTGCATTTTACTGCTTCCATATAATGTATGTTTGCTTTACAAATAAATTTACATTGATCACATCACCTCTTCACAGCTTTCAGTCCTGTAACACCCTTCTTATTTTGAGTTACATTCTCCAGCATTATTAATTCAGTAGTCTGTAATTAAATGATTGGCTGATCAAATTGTTCCCTCCAGAGCACCTGTGTAAATGCATTGAAGACTGATTGATTTAACTGAGGTCACTCAGCGATAGTTTAGTCTTCAAACTCACTGTTATGAAAGATGAGAAACAGAGAGGAACATATCTCAGGAGGGAAAGACTCTCTGAGCTGGGGGCAGGAAGACTGCATCTTTTAACCTTGGATATTTTTTCTTTTAATTCCCAAGAAGCAGAATGATTCTGAAACCAGAGACCCAAGACCACACAGACTGTTGTGGTTTATTACTCTACAGTGTCAAAACTGCAGTTCAGATTTAAAAATACATCATGGTAATTAGCTGGTTTGCATTCTGTCACCATGTGAGAACAAAAGGAAAATTTGAGTGTGAGGGTGTAAAGGTGAGTAAACACAGAAGGGGATACTGTGGGAGTGGTGTTGCATTGTTCGTATTTATTTATTTCATTGTATTTGTTTTTGTCAGAGAAGTTGAGTGTCCCTTCTGTTTTCATAAGATCTGCTTCCACATCTCATATGCAAAGATTAAGAGGCTTACGCAGATGTAAAGTGTTGGGGGGAGATGAAGGTTTTCATGAAGGTTGTTGTTGGGTATGTTTGTTTGTTTCTTTTTTTAAAATATTCATTGGTTATCTGTTTGCAACCAAATGAGTGTTTTCTCAGGTTCCTCAAAAGCATTGAGCTAGCGGTCACTTCCAGAGGTGGCAGCACAGGCTGGACGGATCAGTAGGCTGGTATGATGCAACAAACTGCGTTTATTTCATTAATCCCTTTGGACCAAGAGACACAGTGAGGCTACCTATTCCTCTCCGGTAAGGGAAGATTCACCCCCCTGTGGTAAAGTGATGTACAGATCTGGTACGTAGGCTGCTAGGTTGACTATCAGATATCAGAGCTGGTGCTTCCAAAACAAGGCAGTTGGCTCCCTCTGCTGATTTGCTACGTGATTATAGCTGTCTTAAGCAACAGGCGCTTTTCCTTTCGGTCCCAGAAGTTCCAGTATCGTTACGCCTTGTGTTTTTGATGTGGTTTCTTTCCCTGTGAAGTAGCTACCAAGCTGTATGGTCCCCTCTAGCTTAAAAGCTGTACAGACACAGATTAATATACGTATTTATAGCAGAGAATCAAACTGTAATGTGGCAGCTGAGTATTTTAGGTAAGAACTACATAAAACTATAATTACACCCATCTGTTTCCCTTAAGTATCCTGTAGAAAACAGTTAGTGCTTATATATCTTTTGATAGCTCTCTCTCAGCTTGGTACTTTGGGGAAAGAGGAAAATGAATTTTCACCTTTATTTTCTTCTAGAAAAAGATAGTGCTTAAATTCAAATATATGAGAGAACAAAGCTGAAAGTGTTTGTTAAATGAGCTTTATTTGTATATTGATAGTGTTAAAATATAGTAGAGTTTTCCAAAATTCTAACACTTATGCACTGAAAACAGAAAGAACAGACACATTTTTAATAAAGCTGTGGCTATTGTGGCTATATAAATAGACATTAACAATAAATAAACACACAATATTTCTTAAAAATGCACAGAATTGCATCAAAGCTATTGGATATAAAACCAGCTTTCTAAAGAGCTGTAAACTGCATTGAGAAGATACGCAAATAAGCCTTACTATTACGGTCTGTCTGTTAAGTGATCATTTAACTAGATTCACAACTGGGGTAAATCTGTGAAATGTGGGGATTCAGTGAAGGACTTTGAAAGACCATTTTCCAATGTGGCAGGACCGATGCGATGACTCTGATGCGTGTCTATAGCCCAAAAAGGAACTGATGTGAGACATTGTGAAAAAGGAAACTGGACTAAGGGAAATTGTCTACTTGTTTTTGTTTGTTTGTTTTACCACAGATTGATAACCATTTTAGGCATGTTAGTGTTAGGATAGATTATATTGAACGCTTTTGAAAAGGGAAGTTTGTAATAATTTGACAATCTGGGCACAACCAAGTTACTTAAACCTAAGCTCGTACTGTCTTTTGAAGTGTTCTCATGTATAGTATCACTTGGAAGTTACTGTGAAGTCTGAGTGATTTTTTTGAACACGTTTGAAGGTACCTGAGACTTTCAACAGAAAAATGAAGGTAACATGCACTGTCTCGCCTACAGATACCTGCATTTGTCTTTCATATATGTATCTTTTGTGTCATGTACCTACATGCACCTTTCTCATTGCACAGTGATGAAAATTGCTGAGCATACACTCCAGCTGTGTGTTGAGCATCAGTGCTAGGCAGTATGGTCACTTCATCTGGGATCTTCCGGATTTGCTGCAGTTTCCTAGAAAGCATCATATTAAACTCACAATTCCACCTGCAGTTGCCACTGGCTGTTGCCCTGAGTGTTCAAGGGAGTGATGTCTACCAGCTGTCACTTGGCAGGCTGCTGCAGGTTACATGGCTCCAGTAGATGGAGCTAAAGGATCCCGATCACTAAAGAGACGGTAAAATTGATACAGAAGGTGCAGGCCAAAATTTTGCCTTTTTCATGTGCTGCTAATGTTTGCCCTCTGCTATGCCATTTTTATTTTTCCTCCTGAATTAGCGTGCATGGAGAAATTAATATAAGTGGAGCACTTTGTAAGATCTGAGAAATCAGGTTGTCTAAAAAAAATTAGATGAGCGTTGCTTTGTGCCTCTGTCCAAATGATGCTTTCTGAATTTCACCCATTGTCAGTGACACTGCAGCTCTAAATGTCACGTTGTCACTGCTATGGCAATTAGTTAAAGGTACCAGCACTTTGTAAGCTTGTTAGGCTCTCTGCTGCGAAAGATGTAAAATTCCTGCATATCTGTAAATGGGCTCTTATTAGAAACATGCTATTGTAAGATAAACTGCATCATTTTAAATCTCTTGTAATTGTTTCCTCTGGTGCTGCTAATGACAGGGGAGACTGGTGTTACTTTATCTACTGCATATGTAATGCCGTACCTATCTGAGACAAAAATAACTTTCTGCAGGCCCTAAGGAGACAAGCAGATATATTCACACACTGCAAGATAAATATTTAGATAAATAGAAATGATATCTGAAGCTATATCTAAAGCATTCCCATGGACTTTCCTTTAGTACACGCTTAGCTGTGCTTTGAACAGAATCCAGTTAAGTAGCACAGAGGAGTGAGAGCTTTCAAAAATTCCCTTCAGATAAAGACATTTACATGTCTCGTGTCAAACATAATTTGACCTCAGGGGTTGCAATCTAGTCCTTAATAGGCATTTCTCACCCTTGAAAAAACATCTGGCATTTGAAACAATGCCTTCTTTTGAGAACTTTGGCTTACTGTTATGGCATGAAGGTCAAGATTGTGTTGTACTGACTAAGAGGAGCACAGCAGCTTTCACAGTGATTCCTCGCTTCTTATGTGACCCTCCCTTGTATTTAACATTTCAAACTAAAAAGATGAAATGCAGCATGAAAAAGTGTTGTTTTCTGTGTGAGACTTTGATTTATTTTATCTTTTATCCTTGTTGTCATATTACGGGAATATTGAATGCTTAATCTCATTTTAACTGATGCCTTTATTTGACAGGCATCAGTTGGTCAGACCAACTTGTGTTGGTCTAGAGTTTCCTGGCAAGGTACATAGACAATTTCAACTTGAACCTTTCAATGGAAGGAACGCTGACAATTTGGTGTGTCTCTTCTGTACAGGCTACCAAACGAAAAAAAAAAAAAAACAACAAATGATGGACCCGTATGAGACTGTGATCAAGCCAGGCCCGCTCAACCCAGACACAATGAAGGCAAATTACAGCACAGGCAGGCTGGGAGCAACCACCAGAAGAGCTGGAAAAGGTTGTATTAAAACCTCTCAGATCTGAATAGAGGGATTACTCCTGGTTATAAAAAGAGTCCACACATTATAAGTGTGCAATTACTTCAGAAGAGCAATTCTGCTCTAATTGACCCAAAAAGGCAGTTAGCCGCTCAGGCAGCTGGCTGGGGACAATGGGGCCAAAAAGAAAAGAAAAAAGAAAACAGCCCTGCATAAGATTAGATTACGTTTTTTTATTACCCACATTAAACAAAAACCTCCTGCCTTTACTCCAGGTGACTGCTGGGTGGCTGTTTGAGTTGTTCTTGACTTGCTTTCCTGGGGGTGGTGCAGCATGCCAGAAATAATGCGATTATTTGGCAACTGTGGATCAGAACATAAAGCTACAATGCAGGTATCTTAGAAGAGTCAGAGTTGCTCTTGATTCACAATCCACAGGTGTCAAACAGGCAATTTTTCTTCTGTAGCTGATTTTACGTATGACCTCTTCTACTGGAAGTAGACTGTCACAGACGTACCTAAGTCTCTCTCACATCAGGCTCCACTTGTTGTGATGTGTTTTTTCTAAGACTGAAACTGAAGTCATCTGGATAGGATGCCTGAAAGAATGAATATGATGGTTTAAGTAACTGGGGTCTTCCCAAGCTCCTAGGCTTGTCAGATGTTGAGGAATTTAAATATATTATCTTAAAAAAAATGAATGTATTTAAACTATTTCTTTGTTTGTTTTGTTTTGTCTGGAAGGCCTTGCTTTTGATTAAATAAGCCCTTGAGAAAGGTCTATAAGTATTTGTACCCTTCGTCATAGCTAGCAATTTAAATAGAAAGAGAACTGGAGGTACTGTGCCCAAGTTTTAGAGCAAGGTTGTAACTGGGTATTCCATGTTGAGGCTCACTACATGAAAGGAAAACTTCAGCACCCTGAAGAAAGGATAGCAGAAGTGCTCCAATTTTGGTGGGAATGTCCTGAAATTGTACCCAAAGGCTTTCTTCCTAAGTTATTAGAGAAGCCAAATTCACTTGTTTTCAGATTATTGCAGGGCTGTCTGACAAATACATACCCATGTCTTTATGTGTAGGAACTGAGCAATTTTTATTCAGGATAAAAATAATGATTATATAGGCATAATAAGGAATGTTTATTACTTTCTGTGGAGTAAGTGGTTCATATATTATGTTAGTCCCTAAGACCTCAGTTACTAAATGGGGGGATATTTGAGGTCTAATATCAAACTCTTTCTAAACAGCCTATCTATTTGAATAATATTGATTTCAGAGGCCTATTTAATACAGTGATAGCAACAGTTGTGGAGAACATTCTCAAGCTTGGCTTTTAAGTTTCTCCTCTGACTTCTTACTGAAGTCAGTAGGACTTGATACTTATTTCCATGGGAAGCGTCAGACTCAAAAAAGTACCAAGGAGAAAAAGGCATCTGAGAGGTCCTCCTTGATTCCATTATATTTGATTTATAATTCAGCTACCTTTTAATATTATACATCTGCTTAAGTCCCTTTCTGCCCTAGCTATTTAGCATTCTACTTGCCCTGCCCCTTTATTTTTTCCAGTGTTAGGCTGTGACATTCAAGCTTTCA